GATTCGCGGTCCCTTGCCGGGCCCCGTGAGGAGAAGCGCGGTGTAGGAACCGGCCCGCCAGACTGCCCCGTGCGCTGCTCCTCCTCCTCCTCTTCAGCCGCTGACTGTTTCCTTCCTCCCCTGTGCCTGGGCTCCCAGCTGCCCGTTCCGCTGTCTCTTAACATCCCTCCGCATCCGTGCCCGCTTCTGCTTGACCCGAGGCACTTGTTTCTCCTTTCTGTCCCCCGCGGTTGTAGGCAGGCTACACCTGCAGTCAGAACAGATGTAAAGGTCACACAGCTGGGTCTGGGTTTGTTATGTGTGCTTATTTCTGTTGTCCGAAGAGCTCTTTCCTTCTCCTCATCCTCGTGTCCTTTGGAATCCTTCCTGCCACTCGCTGCCAGCACTCAGGAGCTCTCCTCGGGACAGATGGGAGAACTTACTCGGTGGAGAATAAGAGAGGAACCTTCTGGTTTTCCCCCACCCTTCTCCCTGCTTGCTTCAGTTTGTTTCTTCTAAGAGTTCCAGTAGACAACTGAGCAACACGGTGTGTCCAATACCAGCTCCAGTTCCAAAGAGAAACTCCAGAAAGCAAGAAAATCTTCCTGTTTCTCCAAAACAGAAGGAAAAAAAAAAGTCAGTGAGAAACAAACAGATCAGCTCATTTTTGTGTTTAAGAGAAGAGTAGATGTTGCCTTGAAGGATATGGTTTAGTGGTGTTGACAGGGCTAAGAAAAAGTTTGACTCAATGATCTTCAAGGTCTCCTTCCAGCTGAAACTGTTCTGTGATTCTCATGGCACAGCTGTCAGCCCTCCTGCCTTGCTTCTCTGCCCTGTTAGCACACAAAAACCACTCATACTTGAAGTAAACCTCACCTAGAACCGAGCAGCAAGCAATGTGGCTCTAGGTTTTGTCACTTCCAGCTAAAGTTTGTTGACATCACTTGCTGTTCACTTTGAAATGTCTTCCCCACCCCCGCAGACTAATTTGATGGAGAAATAAAAGTGCAGTCACTCAAATGTAATGTTAAATATCTACTATTGCTTTGATATTCTTCAGCTGAAAGCTTCTACCTGGCCTATAGTCAGTTGGCAGTAGGGACAGTGAATTCATCCGAGTATGTAGTGAGACTTAATATCTTTGTGTCATGCTTAATGGTGTAGTGAGCAATAGCAGTGGCTCACAGCAGGAGGGGATGCATTTTATCCTCACAAGACTCCTGTCCTCTACATTGTCTTTCACTGAATTGCAATGCCCACCTGGATCCTTTGCTGTGAAAGTCTTTGTGCAGGTTATTACTTAGTGCAGGAGTAAGGGAAGCAAGTCTAAACAAAGTTAAAACTTAGTCCAAAGCAGGTGAATTTCCCTTTCAAAACTGGCCATTGCCTCTAAGTAGTGACTTATGTCCCCCCACTTTGCCTTCCATGTCTTCTGTGTGATACTACTTCGCTGTTTTACATTCTGGTCTCTGCCACATCCAGTGATCTAGGGTAATCCAATGCTTATAAAGCATTAAATAGTATTTGTGTTTGATTTGATTAAGTATACATAGTTTCTTCTTTTGTATATATGATTTATAATTATTTTGGCCAATTGCAGTTGTGCTCTCATGAGTTACTGTTCTGACACATGTGTCCTGCACCATAAATAAAACTGTACCTTTTTATAGTGGAATTTTTCCGGAGTGTTTAGGATCTGTAGAATAACCACAGCTTTTGTCCAGCCACTTTTAGATTGTTATTAGTGTACGCAGTAAAATGGAAAGTATCCAAAGGCATCTCCAGTTCATAAAGCTGTTTTTCAGAGGAGGCCAATATTGTTACCAGTGTTTTACTGAAATTTCTTTTTTGTTTAAGAAAGGAGATAATATGTCTAAAGTCACCCGACAGATTGATGCCTATCATGAAAATTGAACATTACCTTTGGAGTTTTATTTTCACTAGATCATGTTTAGTATCTTTATTAATGATCTTGATGAGGAGTTTCAGAGCACCCTCAGTAAGTTTGCAGACAACACCCAGTTAGGTTGGTCTGCTTGATGGTACAGAGGCTCTGCAGAGAGATCTGGACAGGCTGGATCAATAGGCTGAGGCCAGCTGAATGAGCTTCAACAAGGCCGAGTACTGGGTCCTGCACTTGGGATGCAACAACCTCAGGCAGTGCTACAGGCTTGGGGAAAAGTGGCTGGAGAGCTGCCAGACAGAGAGGGATCTGGAGCTGTTGATCAACAACTGACTAAATGTAAGCCAGCAGTGTGCTCAGGTGGCCAAGAAGGCCAATGGCATCCTGGCCTGTATCAAAAAATACTGTGTGTGGCAGGAGTAGGGGAGTGATCGTGCTCCTGTACTTGGCACTTGTAAGGCCACAGCTTGAGTACTGTGTTCAGTTTTGGGCACCACAGTAGAAAAAAGATGCTGAGGTGCTGGAGAGGGTCCAGAAAAGAGCAGTGAAGCTGGGGAAGGGTCTTGACAAGAAGTCTTATTAGGAGTAGCTGAAGGACTTGGGATTGTTTAGGCTGAAGAAAAGAAGGCTGAGGGGAGACCTTAACGCTTTCTACAACTACCTGAAAGGAGGTTGTAGAGAGTTGGGTGTTGGTCTCTTCTCACACGTTACAACTAATAGGCCAAGAGGAAATGGCTTCAGGTTGCACAAGGGGAGGTTTAGGTTAGATATTAGGAACAACTTGTACACTGAAAGGATTGTCAAAGACTGGAGCAGGCTGCCAAGGGAAGTGGTTGAGTCTCCATCCTTGGATGTATTTAAAAGCCAGCTAGATACGGTGCTCAGGGACATGGATTAGAAGTGTACCTGGCAGAACTAAATAATGGTTGGACTTGGTAAAGCTCTTTTCTAACCATAATGGTTGTATGATTCTTATGTTAGTGACCGCATTATCCTACAGTTCAGTAAGCTTTTCTTGTGTAAGCGTCACCTTTGAGAAATACGAGACTGAATCAGGCTTGTTTATCTTGAACACTTGTGTGTTTCCTTTCCCCTTACTGTAGCACAAGAACCTCACAGTGAGGGAATGCATATGATTTCTGATATATAGGAAATTGTTATAACTCTTCAAAAAAGATGAGTTTTTATTTGAGAGAATAGGGGAAGAAATTTCAGATTCTCTAAAGGCAAATGAGGTGGCGTCCCTGCCCATGACAGAGGTTGGATTAAAGGTTCCTTCCAGCCTAGGCCATTCTGTGATTCTATGAAATGGAAAAAATCTTCCAGGATTCAAAGCTCGATACTTGTGTTTTATTTTCCCCTCTGTGAGGAAACACATCTAACTGGGAGGTGAATTCTATCCTGAGGACTTTGTCAGAGCTAGTTTTTTTATCTGAACCTTTTCCAAACCATTTGTCATTCTGCTTTTAACAACCTTTACTTTTTGAGTTGGGATACGCTTGTCCTCTGTAACTAGGCCACATCATTGGCTTTTGTAAGTGACTTAATGTCCTGATTTGGGCTAAACAGGGCCAAATCTGTTCAGTGTTTTTACTTTTCAGCTCAGTCTCTTCTAAGAGACTGCACTTTCTGAAGTTGACAGCATATTTTTGCAGACAGTGTCTGCCTCTAGAAGTGATAACACTTGATGTTTATAGTTGCTACCAGGGATTGGGATGCAGAAAGGCTCTTGCTTATACTCACCCCTGTAGTGACCAAGGTCACTGCAGGATCTGGTGTACCATGTTAGGAGTGCCAAGAAGTAAAAGGGCTGCAAGGAAGTGAAAAAGCTTCACCTCTAGGGAGGAGCAGACAGGATAGCTGACCCAAATCTGACAAAGTATTCCATTCTGTATACGTCATATTCAGTACAAATCTGAAGGGCTGCAGGGGTTAAAAACCTCTTTCTCTTCTTCAATGGCTGGAGGTGTCTGTTCCATTCATTCTTCTTCCTTTGATCCCAATCCTAAGTTCCCAAATCCAGCTCTTGTACCCAGTTCCCCTCTGCTGCTGAGCCTGGGGCTTCCCTGGCACCTGCCTGCTCTGCAGCATGAGTGGTGATTGCCATCAGCAGGGGAAGTTGAGTTCAATTTAATTTTTTAGATATTTGTATACATTTCAGTATTTTCACTATTTCCTTATTAGTACTATTATTGTTTTATTAAAGCTGCTTCAATTTTCTTTGCCAGTCTGTAAGTCTCTCTGCCTTATTCCTGTTCCCTTCTCATCTGGGGAGGGAGAGGGGTTAGAGAGCATGTGTCCCGCTTATAGTGGCCAGCCCAGCCTTAACCCTTGGCACTTAATAATACTCATTGCGTTATTCTGGATCACTTCTTCTATACCTCCCAGACTCTCAGGGGTTTTTTTGTTTGTTTTTAACTGATTCCTGTTCAGTTCCCATGTGTTGCCTGATCTAATCAAGAGGTGGCATCCCTGGCAGCAGGGAGGCTGGATTAAAATGATCTCTAAGGTCCCTTCCAGCCTAGGCCATTCTATGATTGTATGAAACTGTACTGAGAAAACTCTGTTGATGTGTCCCCAGGGAATCGTTTCCTCTTAATTCTAAACCTATTGGAGGTTATGAGACATTTAAAGAATCTGCTGCTGGTCTAGTTGATGGATGGATTGAAGAACATATTGGAAGGATGAAAAAGTTCCTTCCAGGTATGCTGGGATACTGCTTCCACTAGTTTTCCAGCTTGAAACAAGAATATAAAGGGACACCCTGCAAATCGATATCCCTAAGATGCTGGCAGTTCAGTTCCAGCTGTTGGTTTAACAGCACACTGAAATCAAAGGAGAATGAAGTGGTCTCAGGAGCCAGTCAAGTTGGTGTTAATATTGAAGTTTATAAGTTTTATTTTCTTCTATTCTCTAGGGCTGCTTTGTTTTTAAACCAGGTCCCAAGAAGAGAAGGGTGTCTCAGAAACCAGGTTAGTGCATTTTGATATATGTTTCTGTGCTTGAGAAGGGTTAATCCTAGGAGGTTCACCACATCTGATCGGGTTGTGTCATAACTGTGTGAAGATTTCTGTGGCTCCCTGATGTTGATATTGCTGAAAACTCGTTTCTTTGGAGGAACCCCAGCAAACTGTTGTCTAGTGTAAATTCTCTTATTCTCCAGCAATCAAGATTGTATAGCTATCTTTGTCTATGCATTTTTTTTTTACAAGATAACTCCTTTTCATGCTACCATAAATTGTTTACTGACTGACGAGCTATTTATCTGAAGAGTCTGAATGAGCCTCATTTAAGCTATGGGAATCAAAATTGATACCCCATTCATAAGTCTCGTCATATTCTGGGTAGTTTGCCTAAGTTTCTGAAGGAGTAGAAGAAAGAAAAGCTGTATATAAGATCCTATTGCTTCTGTCCGCTAGTCTTTGTTATATATATGTTTTGTCCAGCCTATATGCTGTGTATACAGGTCTCTTGTCATTTGAAGAAGACTGAACAAGACTGATTCTTATTGTAGCCACATATAACGCTGCTTAAATAGTTGTTGTTTGAGACTTTGTTAGAAAATGTACTGTTCTTATTCCCAGGTTAAACTTTTTTTGGCATCATCAGAGCTGTCAAAAGGTCTGACCATTGGTATTAAATAAGTAGAGAGGAAAGTAATAAGGCCAAATTTTGTGGAAATCACCATGGGCTCAGTCATTACCAGAGGGTCTTACTGTAACACCTACTTCAAAAAATTAATCCCAAGTTATTTTTTTCTGTGGGCATTGGCACATCTGTAGCTCAGGGAATGAGAGGCAGGAACATAGAATCCAGTTTGTCATTCTAAGTCACTGCAAGATAAATAAACTACCAAGACCTGTCCACTTAAACCACAGTGAAACTTTGCCCCTTACTGGATAGATTCTGTGATTATGTTTTCATTTTTGCAAGATTAGTAATGCTTGGATAAATCCTAATAAACATATTGTTCTAGTTAGTGAATGCTTTGAGACAGAAAAATTAATTTGCCTGAACTACTCCTAAAAGAGAGGCAGAGGTGAGCTAGTTCAGCTGCTCACAGCTGTTAGTTGGAATGGTTTTCTAAATAAACAGTACTTTGATGTGCATCCGTCCAGTTTGGAAGCTCAAACCTGGCAAGTGTGAAGTTTCAGTTACGAAACTTTGTGGCATTGATAGTTGATAATACTGTTGCACTCCACAAAAGGCCTTCTGTGCACATTTGCACCTATAACTTGAGTTTTGGTAGTATAAAAAGAGTATTATGCCTTGGTATAATGCTAATATTGTGATGGCTAGGTTTTCTTTATCTAAAAGCCTAAGACCTGTGTAATCAGAGGGGGTTATGTACTTTAAGGGATTTTACATAGAGGTACAAGTGAGGTATTAATTTAGGGGAGATGATGAGAATGGAGGATGAGGGATTCCTCTTGTTCATCACTGACAGAGCTGCTTTAGGCGTTTTTAATGTTTTTTTGGAGATTGAATGTAGTCATCAGCTGGTTCTTTTCTAGAGATCAGACCACTGCTGCTGCTCCACTGAATGGCCACCAAATGGACCTTGATGGCTAGCAAATTAATTTTTTTGTATGTATATGTTTAGGAAAAAAAAATCAATTGTTGTGTTTAGTGTTTCCTTGTGGCAACAGTAACAGTCTGTTTACTTGACCTTCAGACTTTGTGTTCTTCCAGCTGATGTTAGTGAAGCCTTAAAGCTATACCAGGCCTGCTAAATGTATGCTGGAAGTAGAAGAATGGTTCCAAACCTGTGCAATTTTTTCACTTGTTTGTTTGTTTTAGAGGAAATGTAGACTGTGTGAATGTGGGAGGAAAAAAATGAGAAAAATGCCACTCGTATTGGTTTCTGTTCAGTCTCCTATTTTTCTCCCAGCTCGTGTCTTCCTTTCTTCCATCTGGAAGCTGATGGAGAGTTTCTGTACTCAGATTTGTGGGGCAGAGCAGCACCTGGGAAGCCAGATGTATTCAGACAATGAGCCAAGACACTGTTTTACCAAAAAGGATCTGATTCTCCTTTTCTTTTTCATGAAGAGCATGTATAGGAGTGAGCCAGAAATCTGTGCCTAGTTTGCACTTAAAAGTTTTGCTGGCATGGTTGTGTATTTTCAAAGATTTGGAGGAAAAAAAGTATTTTAATAATAAAGGCTGTTTCCTCTGATTTAGCCTTTAGCTCATCTGGGCCTTGAGATAGAAGCCAGTTCTTTACCTGCTGCCTGCCTGCTTGGGTAATAGACTCTGCTTGTTCCCTTGCTTCTTCTACCAGATTCCAGCAGTTAATTACTTGGTTAAGAGAAAAGTCATCTTGCCCAGATACACACCTATATTAAGATGTTCTTGTTTTAGTAGGATGCTTTGCTTCTTATTCTCAGCAAAAAAATGTTTTGTTTTAATCATTATATTTGTGCTTGCCTTTACTTTCTGATTTTCTAGCTAATTATTTCGGAGAAGGAGAGAATGATTCAGAGGATGCTCAGTCGCGGTTTGTTACTTGTCAATCTTTGTGGAGTCAGATCAAGTTGCAAACAGAGGTGAGTCTCATACCTCGTACAAAAGCAGTAGTTTGCATTTTTAACAGTACTGCTTGCTTCTTTGTTTCTGGAGATTGTTTTTACACGCTTAAAAAGGCAATTAGTTAAAGCAATAAAAGGGCCAGAAATACCGAGTCTGCAGTCCCTGTCCAGAATATAAAATAATCATAAATCCATCAATTACATATTACTTCTAACTGCAGAACTACATACTTTTAATGTTTCAGCTGCTGCTTTTAAGCTTCTCTTGTTACTAGTTGTCCTTCTTATTAATTTTCCTCTCTTTTCTACCTTCAATTCAGTTATATACTTGCCAGTCTCCTGATGATTTTAGGCTGCTCTTGACCTCAGTGTTACAATATTCATAGCAGCCCAGGATTCACACTGGATTTATGTGAATAGAACTGCATGGGTCTCAAATACTGAATGGCACAGCTGCAAGCATGCTCTATTGCATTAGTATGGACAGTGTCGGTGAGGTTGTCTAGTGGGGATCAGAGTTAATTTCAAACTGAACTGTGGCCTCCTAATTGTTGTGTGTTAGATGGCATGCTGTTGCTTTGTCCCTGTAACCAGCTGTGAATAATTGCTTCCGTACAGCAGGGATTTCCTCCTCTATTCAGTGTCAAGGATTCTGGGCAAGTATTCCATACTCCTTTGCCTGCTCTTGGGCTCTGGACATTATGAGACCTTTTTTTCCAAGGTTTGTTTTGGGTGATACAGTAGAAGCCAGCTGGATGTAGCTTACAATCTGGATCCTTGATCTAAGCCCATAAATTCCTCTAATTCTGTTACTGCTATTCCATGATCCATCTCACTTTGACTAGTCAGCACCCTTTTACAACCATAACTAGCCAGACTGTTCAAAGCAGCGTGCTATGTCGTGATGCTGATTATAGAGAACACAGAGGAGTTTGTGGAGGTACATTTGGTATCTTCCTGACAAATGTTTTGGCTCGATGGGTTAGTTTACCAACATTGGCAGTAATGTTGGCAGCTGCACCAGAAGCAGCTACTATGGTGGACTTTAGGGAAGATGACATTCTGTAGCTACTTCTGGAAGACCTTTTCTTGGATCTTCTTTCTTTGGTGCAGTGTTGTCAGAGCTTTTGAGACAATGTTTCTACATCCTAAAGTGTGGCTGCAGGATTTTCAGGTTGAAGTGATCTTTTTTTTTCCTAGTGCTCTGCAAGGATTTCTTCCAGAGCAGCAGTCAGAGCCCATCATAGCAAAACCCTGCCTTAACCACTCAGAAGCACAGACAGAGCTTTTGCCTTCTGGAAAATCATTCTTTCCTGTTCTGAATCTCCTGTTCTTGTTTTCTTTGAGGCTGCTAGGAATTTGCTAAATAATTTCTTCTGTTCTTCTCCTCATGGAGAACAGTTCGTCCTACTTTGACAACTTGGTATGGGCCTTGCCTTAGAGTTTGATTTACCCAAGGGCAGATTACCTGCAGTTACTTTTGCTGCTACATAGAGAATTTTCTTTGTCCAGCTTCTGGGGTGTCTCCTGTATTTTTTCTGCTGAGTTTTGAGTTACTACCCTTTTATGCCATTGTTGGCAAACTTGGAGGTGATGATCTTACATATAAAATTGTGTGATAATTCAAGTTGGAAGGGACCTTAGAAAGTCTCTAGTCTGAACTTCTGCTTCAACCAGCAGCATCTGTGAGGTCAGACTAGATAGGTGAGGTCTTTATCCAGTCAAGATTTTATTTCTTATATATTTTCAAACCTTCCTGTAGTAAACCTGACCTATGGCAGAATACCTGTGAAGTGTGTTGCTTGCTGGTTTGGACTTCTAAGGGTTCTGGTAGCGTGCTAAGGGAGCCTAGCAGGATATCCTCCAAAGCTCAGAGGACTGCTCTGGGGACATATGGTAATACAGGAGCTGTTACGATACTGTTATAAAGCTGATTCTTCTAAAATGCCCTATTACAGTTTCTTCTGAGTTGCCGTAGAATTTATCAAGTGGGAGCTCAGAGGTGCGCAATCAACATCAGAAAGGCCAGAAGAATATTTTTTAATAAGTAGAGGGTGAAAAGAATAAGATTGCTTTGTGTACAGTATTATTAGTTGTTCAGGAGAGCAGAAGCAGTGCTTCTGTGTAATGGAAATGGAGCTGGGGTTTTTGAGCAGGCATCATGTGCAATCTCCTGGAGATGTGACCTTAACTCCTGTGATTGTCGCCTCTGCTAGAGATGGCCTTTGCCAATTCGTTTAAAACCAAGTTCACTGCTGTGTCACTTCTTCTGGCTAATAAATCTTGATGATGATTTTATTGGAGGCAGGGTTTTAATCTTGTTTCTAACATCTGTGTTCTAGAGTGTATATTAATATCCTGAACTTCAGACATTTCTTATGTCTTTTCTAGCAGAAGGCGTCTCTTGGATTAGAGACAGATCTTTCAAATGCACATACATAATGAAAGAAATAATAATGCTGCCACTATATATCTTCATTTTTAACTCCCCCTGTTTTCTATCACCTTTCAGTATATTCCTGCATATGCATATTCTTTTATGAAAGTCATCCAGAAGGGCAAAAGACAAGGTAGCAAATGTGGCAGTTATGTGGCTTAGTATTTTTTCTTATAAAATATACTTAATGCTTTCCTTTATTGTTATTATTTTTTCTTTCATCCTAAACTAGATTTGGAGGAGCTGAATGTTTGCCCTCATTTAGATCTGTTTGCAGGGTTTTGCAGACCAAAAGGGAATAATAGGCATTTTCATGACCATTCTCCCAGAAACTACTTATATTGTTTTATTCTTTCTATGTCACTCTTTATAACATTTTTTTTTTCTTCTTTAAAGCCTATGGTGTGACAACACAGTTAAGCTCGATTGCTTTCCAAGTTACTGTGGAAGCATTTGACCAGAAGTTCCACTGCGTTTGCCACACAGTGAATAAATTAGGGTGTTTATAGTTCATAGAGGTGGTGGGTCGACCCTGGCTGGACACCAGGTGTCTACCACAGCCACTCTGTCACTCCCCTCCTCAGCTGGACAGGTGAGAGAAAATACGAGAGGCTCATAGGTTGGCATGAGGACAAGATCACTCACCTGTTACTGTCGCAGGCAAAACAGACTCCACTTGGGGAGAAATTAGTTTAGTTACCAATCAAATGAGAGAAGGGTAATGAGAAATAAAACCAAATCTTAAAAACACTTTCCCTCCTCCCTTCTTCGCAGGCTCAGCTTCTCTCCTGATTTTATCTATATCCTCCACCCTAGCAGAACAGGGGGATGAAGAATGGGTGTTGTGGTCAGTTCACACATTGTCTCTGCTCCTCCTTCCTCCTCAGGGGAAGGGCTCCTCACATTCTTTCCCTGCTCCAGCATGAGGTCCCTCCCATGGGAGACATGGAGTCCTCCACAAACTTGTCCAACATGAGTGCTTCCCAAGAGCTGCAGTTTTTCATTAACTGTGCTGATGTGGAGCCCTTCCATGGGGTGCAGTCTTTCAGGAGCAGAATGCTTCAGCATGGGTCCACTGTGGGATTTATCCCAAGAGCTGCAGTTTTTCATTAACTGTGCCGGTGTGGAGCCCTTCCACAGGTTGCAGTCCTTCAGGAGCAGAATGCTTCAACGTGGGTCCACTGTGGGGTCCCAAGTTCCAGCAAAGCTGCACCAGCATGGGATTCTCTTTCCGCAAGGCCACAGGTCCTGCCTGCTCTAGTGTGGGCTTCCATGGGGTCACAGCTTCCTTCAGGCATCCAGCTGCTCCAGCATGGAGTCCTCTATGGGCTTCAGGTGGACATGTGCTCCACTGTTCATCTCCATGGGCTGCAGGAGGACAGCCTGCCTCACCGTGGTCTTCACCTCAGGCTGCAGGGGAAATCTCTGCTCTGGTGCCTGGAGCACCTCCTCTCCCTCCTTCTTCACCGACCCAGGTGTCTGCAGAGTATCTGCAGAGTTGTTTCTCTCACACATTCTCGCTCCTTTCTCCAGCTGCAATTGCTCTTATGCAGGAATTTTTTTCCCTTAAATCTGTTATCCCAGAGGTGCTACCGCCGTCACTGATGGGCTCAGCCCTGGCCAGCTGGAGGTCCATCTTGGAGCAGCTGGCACTGGCTCTGATGGACACAGGGGAAGCTTCTGGCAGCTTCTCACAGAAGTCACCCCGGTAACGCCCACACTACCAAAACCTTGCCATGCAAACCCACTACAACAGGAACCTTAGTCTTGCTTAAAATTTTACCCTGAAGTTTTAGGGATTAAAAATTATGTGAGAAAGGGGTAGGAAAAGGAAGATACTCTGGTGTTTCCACATTTTTATAAATAAAATCTCTCTGTGTTTGTTTACAGCAAATACAGGAAGACTTGAATAAGCAGTTGTTTGATAATCTAGTAAATTTTTTGAGGCAGTCTCATTCTAAGTTCCAGGAGAAGACAACAGAATGGGCTTGTCGGATGAAGTCCAGAGAAATCCCTACTGCAGCTCTTGTCTTAGGTAATTTTTTTAAGATGTATTTTATGTATATCTGCTGAAAAACTGACGTAGAGATTAAACAAAAATATATTGCTGACTTCCAGCTATTACTGTGAGCAATATCAGCTTCAGAAATGTAAATAGAAGAGATTGGGCTGGGAGAAGGAAGCAGGATAAGACCTCCTTCCCCTTTGTCTGCATGTATAATAGTCCAGTAAGTTAACACCTTCACTAAAGGTCTGTCTTGTGCAATTGGTAGTGATTTGGCTTTCTTTTTTTTTTTCCCCTGAGGTACTGGAGATGCTTTGATTCTGTCACAGTTCCTGCCACTAACATGCTTCATGGTTTCTGTGACTAACCATGAAATTACACAGCTTTTGTATTTCTGATATATGTTCTTGCATTGCATCTTTATGTGTAGGAAAGCAGTGTCATCTTGGAAAAGAAGCAGAGGGTGAAGGCAATAGCTGAATTTCTTACTACTGAAGTTAATGATATTTTGAAATCTTTTTTTCTTTGTTTTTTCCACCCTCCTTTCTTTCAGAGGTTTGTAACTGTAATCCTCAACCTGGTTCAAGGGTAGCTGATTGCATTTGCAGTGGCTCATTCTAGGGAACTTAAAACCAGGCCTGTGCTTCAAATTTACTGTGTGAGCACTAACAAAGCCTGGAAAGTAGTCTGGTTTTGTGGGTGGCGAAAGTGAGAAGCTCCTGTGGAAGAATTGCCTTTTGGAGGGTCTTGTTCTTTTTTTGGTTGACTAAGGATGTTAACAAAGGCAGTGAATGTGAAGCAGTTCATAGTAAATTTGGACTGCAGTTCATACTAACTTGTAGTAATTTTCACCCTTACATAAACCATGTGAGGATCCAGGTCTCAGGTGTTTGCACAGCTCTCCTTCTAGGGAAGGTGAATTTCATCTTCGTGTCTGCAGACCTTAGATGACTGTAGGTGGCTTCTGAGGGTATGAGTAGCAGGAAAGTTAGAAAACCAATTCCACTTCTTGGAGATTTGCACGCTTGAAAAATCTTTCTGTAAAATCCACCAAACTATATAAGTGTTCTTTGCAGTGATTCCCTGTTCCTTCTAATCAGCTAGTATTAACATGGATCTTGTGCTAGTTTTTCATCCTTCCTCGTAGATGATGCAGTGCTTTTCATTCCTTCCTTGAATATTTGAGGTGTCTTCTGTTTTTTGTCTGCTGTTCAATTTGTTACTCAGTCACAAATCACAGGAAAAATGCCCTTTGAAATTTGTCTTCCTTTCAAGGTGTAAATGTTACGGATCATGACTTGACTTTCAGAAGTATCTCAGAAGTCCTTCAGAATAAAGTTACTCCTTATATAGCCTTGCTGGAAGGCAAAGATTGCCCAGGTAGATACTGCAATAGCTTTGCTGTTTCTTCTGATTAAGCTATCATTTAACTAGAAATTCTAGCTTTTTGTCTGCAAATGTAAAAATAATGGGATGGAGGGATCTTGAAAACTGTTTCTAAAGATTTGCTCAGTCTTGTGTTAACACAGCAGTAATGCCTACTGTATTTTAAGAGGTATCCAGTTCTTTTAAAAACAACGAAGACTGAAATGTTACTTAGTTGTAGCATCAACATCAAGAGCATGCTGCTTAGTATATTGCACGTTGGTATTGTAGGTTGGTTTTCTTCTTGTTTAGTTGGACGATGTATGTATGCATTCTATATTTTTATATGCTTACAGTCATGTTATTGCAGTGAGGGAATGGGTAAAATAAAATATTGTCCCACTCTACTTGCTACTGCTTTATTTTTCAAGTAAAAAGATTTAAATCACTTACAGCAGCATCCCTAGCTCTGTGGATTGGCTGCCTTATTTTTAGGTCACTCTAATAGCATGTGGCTGGAGTTCAGGAAAGGTGCAGGGCCAACATCTTAACCTGAATTGTTGCTATCTAGGCAAATTAATGGGATATTTTTTATTGCATTAACAATATGCATATTGTGAATACTCTTCAAGCTTTCTGGAGCTTGGGATGGGCATTCCAGAGGGAGAAGGAGAATAATTAGAAAAGCAAAAAATAGTAAGCAAGCCCTTGGGGTAATCTTTTAGAGTATGAGTGGAGAAGTGTTACTGAATAACAAAATGTCTCTACTCTGTGTCTAAAAATCTTTTGTGAAGGCATAAAAAACCTGATGCAGAAGCTTATGGGGCAGCTGATGAACTGCTACGTCGATGTGGACTCAGTGGAAGATGAGAGCTGTGTGCAGGTTTCTCAGAGTAGAGTACGTTGTTCAATGACTTCTCTTATCAACTGGTACAAGAGTGTAACAAAGGTAGGATTATTTGTATTAAATTATTTTTGTATCATCCGTTTATAAAAATGCCTGATCTTTGGTGCTTTATAAAATGAAAGTGAATAACTCAAACTTCTGTGCCATAGTGAAAAAATGCCAAAGGTCAGCTTTTCATTTATTACTAAGAAATAACTGAGACTGAGGTGATTTGAATATAAATCTGTAACATATATGATAAATGTAGCATTAGTTTCTGAGGAGGTATGACTGTCAGAATTCTGAAGAACAAGCAAAAAGTACTGTTTTATCATATGTTTATTTCGGAACTAGAAACTTAAAATGCAGTATCAGCTTCATGCCAGATGCTTTTCTCCCAGGAGTGCTGAGATGTTTTGTTTATTAAAACAAAATTTAAGCAAGAACAGCCATCCAGGGGAAAGGCATTGTATTAGTGGTAATGTGCTATTATGTCATCCACAGCCCACACTACATAAATGAGCATTGAGAAAATAACTTTCAAAATGTTTTTTTTTATCATTGTATTTAAGAAAGCTAATGAAGTTTTAAGTTTTGTTTCTGTCATGAGTAAAAGCTAGAACTGATTTTATGATGACTTCACCAGAGCAGTGTGGTAATCAAAAGTTTAATGAGTGTGTGCTTTTTCTATTTCTGGGTAAAGATGTAGGAAATGAGCAGCATCCATGTACACAACTCAAATCCCTGAATCCCAACAGAATTTCACCAGTTCTGTGCCACAGACCTATTCTTGTCTATGTTGTAATGTTGGTTTTTAAAATCTGTGTATTCTTTATACTTCATGCTGTGCCAAACAGAAGAAATAAGAAAGAAAAATTGCAATTCTAGATGCAAATAATAAATACAACCCTAGCAAAAAATCAGTCATGTCACTTTGGAGCATTATAGTATCATAGATGCGATTCAGTCTTTTTCTTTTACTGTATTCTGTTTATTAATGCATAATGAAAGACTTCAAGGAAAGCGATTTCTGAAACTCCAAGCAGAAAAAGAGCTTCCTCTTCTAGACACTGTCAATCTCCTCTGGTTGTAGTTATATTCAAAGATTTGGAAAGTTTCACCACAAAAGTACTTCAAGACTTCATAGTCATCAGCAGGTAACTTGACCTGAATTTTAGTTCTTTTACTCAGTACCGGTTGTCTACTTGCAGCTGTTTCAAAGTGTAACAGTAAGACCAGTGGAGTGTTGGAATCAAAATATTGATGCTGCTTCTTTGCAGCAGCAATTGAGCAAAAACCTTTTTGCTAGGTTTTGGGGTAAGTTATCCTAAAGCTAACTTGGGACTCTGAACCAGAATTCCTATGGGTTGGGTTGAGATGTTGGGTGGCTGATTTAATTATTTAAATAAGGGGATTTATCGGTACTGGTTGTTACAGAATTTGCGATTGTGAAACTACTCTTTAAAGATGCCTAGGTCTTTCTTCTGTAGACTTGTAAAATTGTTTTCCAAGTGTATTTTTTGTATGACTATGGATGGAATTCTGTTTTTTTCAAAAAAAAGAACCTTTTAAGAGTCAGTTCTGTGAATGTTTTCAGGAGATAGGACCAATGCATTAATCTAACTGAAAAGGTGCTTTTTATGCCACTTCTGAAATTTGAATCCTAAAATATGATTTAATTTGCTTTTCTACTTCAGGGCTTTAAATAGCATCCTTTCTTTTTCATTTTACTCCACATTAAAACTCTTTTGGTTTATTGACAAGAAATCTTTTAATTTACCCCTTTATGCATCTAAGCTTAGTGCTGTAGTAGAAACTCAGTGCATTTGTTTCATGACTTTCTATAATGTAACTGTTATGTTGGATTTTTTTCTCCCTTCCTCTGTGATCTAGTCAACATATCCACGAATTACCTCTAGTACTGATTTTTGGAATTGCTACATCTCCGATGATTATCCACAGCTTACTTCCTCATTCTGTATCCTCTCTGCTGTGCATAGAGCTTTTCCAGTCCCTTTCCTGTAAGGAGCACCTGTCTACCCTAATTGACAAGGTAATTCCCTTCCTAAATAGAATCATAGAATCACAGAATGGCCTAGGCTGGAAGGGACCTTAGAGATCATCTAGTCCAACCTCCCTGTCATGGGCAGGGACGCCTCTCAACTAGATCAGGCTACTCAAGGCCTCATCCAGGCTGGCCTTGAACCCCTCAAGCGAGGGGGCATCCATAACTTCTCTGGACAATTTATTCCAGAGTCTTGCCACCCTGGTACTGAAAATTTTTTTCCTAAGATCCAATCTAAAGCTATTCTCCTTTAATTTAAATCCATTTCCCCTTGTCCTATTGGTGGACACGTGCAAAAAGTCCCTCCTCAGCCTTCCTCTAGGTTCCCTTCGGGTATTGCAAGGCAGCTATTAGGTTCCCCTGGAATAGGAGGAGTGTGTGTATATTCAGGCACAGTGTACATGTGTGGCCTTTAAAAGCTGGTTTGTTGGAAGCTTTTGAAATGGAATTTATTTCTGAGAGCTCTGGATTTTGGATATTTCTGCTTTTTGCTGCAGTGCAGCTTCATATTGAGAGTTGCCTTCTCACATTGAGACCCACTCACACACTTTCTTTTAATTTTTCATTTTCATTGACGTCTGTGCATACGTGCTTGGGCAATTACACTTTGACATTCCCACCTCTTCATTAAAGCAATGCTTTGATTTGAGATTTTTCTTTGCTCCAGAAAAAGGTATCTTTAAACATAGAAAAATACAATCCAGCCTGAATTTTGATGCCTGTGAAAGATTAGCAGTTATCCAAATGGCCAAGCCATATAGATACTGTGCCTGTGCAGTTCTGGATACACCACTTTGTGCAGAATTTCCAAAATCAGTGTTACCCATGCTGAAAATAGCGGCATCCCTGATTGTTAGAGCAATCTCTGTTCTGTTTGCAGTTTTGAAAATAAATGCAAAAGTAGTGTTAAGCAAAATTAACTTCAAACGTTGTGTATTAGTAAAAGGAGCCTACAAAAATGTGGAATAATAAACAGAAAATCAATCTTTTCGTGAATGTTTTCGTAGAAATACTGAGTTTGGAAGTTGGCAGTGTGTTTAGTATCTTGTTGAGTTGAATGCTGATACATACTGAGAGTTGTATCAGATTGGATATGTAAATTTTGCTGAGTTGAATTCTGAAAAAAAATCTGCTACGGCTACTTTTCCTTTTTTGTCTCCTTTAGCTGCTTCTGACAGGCCAGTTTCCCTTTAAGCTGGGTGAGAAAGTTCTGCGGGTTCTCATCAACATATTCTTGTACCATGATCTTTCTGTCCAGAATTTTATCAAAGGATTTCAGGTAAGCAATGGTAACAAGAACTCAAATTATGATTGTGAGAACAAAGGGTAGTTACTAGACACTGAAAGATTTCTTAGATCCTAATCTTGCTGTCACTGAAATGGATGAAAAACCTCCTTTGGAAACAGTTTGGATCTGTGAACTGGTGGATGTTTTAAGGTTAAAACCATAACTGCTAAGGTTTTAAGAGAAACCTTTGTAGGACAGGTATGAAGAAGCATGTGAAAACTTACTCTGCCACAAAAACCTCTATCTAAAGGTTCCGTTTGAAAGGGTAACCTGCCTTAGGGAGTGGAAAGACCTATATTTTATTGTAGCTTCTAACGCCTCTACCAGAACTCTCCATCACTGATCCTCCAGGTTCTTTACTCTGATTTGTCATGATGTTGTGAGTAGGCTACAGCAGCACCTCTTCCATGCTTGAACTCTTCTGGCACAGTTTCTGGGGGCACACTTTTGTAGCTTTTCACAGAAACAGGAGCTGTAGGGTCACCTACTTTGTACCTCAGGGAGGGTAGTGCTTGTGCACCAAGCAGCTGGTGCAGCAGTGTAGGAGTTACATTTACTTTCTCAGGAGACAAAATGAAAGACTTCAGGGTTTCCAAAACTAGTTTTTACAGAGCATGATAATTTTATTTTTATTGACTTGTTTTCATATCAAGATGTATTTCTGTATCCAAGTTTCCTTGTAGATTTTGTGGATTGCGAAAAAGGGTTCTCCGGACAATTTGTAGTCCCTGTAATCTGTTTTAATGTGGCATTGTGAGATTGTTTCTTTCTTGCCTGGTTCCATGTGTGAACTTGTTAGTAAAACAGGCCCCTTTAGTATCATATGCCTTTAAAGTGTCTCCGATTCTTTGATATTTAAGATTCGATAATTACACGTGGCCAGGAGAAGTATCCTGGCTGTAGTATCTCTTCCTGCACACAGACCTGCATGTATGTTGGTACATTTCAGCTCATTGTATTTGAAAGAGTGAAAGAGTCACCAGGATTTAATGATTTCCTCATTGGCCTGATACAAAAATGCAAGTCCTAGCCCTGACAGCACATGGCTGTGCTCAAGGATGAAGCAATTTCAGATTAGATTTCCTAAGTGATACATACAAGGGATCACCATCATCTCATTATGTCAAGGAGTGATGTTAAATTTTCTGACACGAAGTGTCTTTCCCTCTTTGACATTTTTCTGCTTTAAAAGGTTTTGACTTGGAGTTTTGTTTTGTTTTTAAGAACAAATGTGATAAGTATATGCTACTATTCTGCAAGGCCCTGATGCTGCAAACATTTAGTGCAGCTGAAATCAGTGGTAAAGAGCATTGTATGTAGGTATAGTAAGCTCTTAGTGGTGTATTTTTGTGTACATGAAACAGAAATTGAAATCAGGATGTGTGATAAGTTTGCTTGTGTATAGGAGTTACTTTTCATATCTGTAAATATACTTTGTTATTTGTGAGTATTGGAGCTGAATATGTAATCTAAAGAGTGCAGTGATTGACATAAGTCAATAGAAGATACATGACAAGCCATAGTTACCATTATGTAAGGGAGGAAAAGATGAGGTACTGGAAATTAATAGCACATACAGCAAAAAAACAGTAATTATTTGACTGTATTTAAAACTGGAATAATCACTGTCCTGTAGTGACTTAAGGAATATTTATGAACTATAATGAATTTTTTGTAAAGGAATACCATTACTGCCATTGTAGTATATGCACTGTAGAAATAAGAAAGCATTAAAAGGTAGATGTAGTAGACAGGATGAATTTTATTAACATCACTGGTCCTTGCTTTGTTTTTCAGATCTGTGTGGTGGAGCACTTCTATTCCCAGCCTCTTAGCATACTGTGCTGCCAACTGGAAGACATTAAGAAGAGGGTAAAGGCTTTAGGACATGATCAGTGTGAAAACATTCGAAGACTGCCCTCTTTTAGAAGGTAAAATGGGAAATAAATTTTTGGAAAATCTTACATTTAATCAGCTTTAACTAAAAAAAAAAAGAATCTGTAAGTATAGTTCTGTGGAAAATGTAGATCACTTGTGTGTGTGTGTTTCTGTAGCAAAGGTAAATCCATCAAAAAGGAAGACAGTTCTAAATAATTTCAGGAGGCCTTAATTTTCCAGTCTAGAGAGTATAGCTTCTGTGATGTGTAATCTCTTGAATTTTTTTTCTCTTGTTCTTCATACAGAAATGAGCTATTATGGCAAGTAACCATAAATCACTTTTGAACTTGTTAAGCTGACCTGGAGTATAATCTCTCAGGGTTTGGAGTGGCCTTTGAATTTGCTGGATTTGACTTTTCCTTTTTGAATCTTTCCAAAGAGGTTCTTATGCCAGCATAAACTTCTTACATTTTTTTAAACTCTGTAACGTAATATTTATGTTCTTGTTTTTTCTTGCCATTAGGTATGTGGAAAATCAAGTATCAGAGAAACAGATTGCACTGCTGACAGCAGATGACTCTTTAAAGGTAAAATGTGAAGAATATCTTTGGAGAGCAAAAATAACTTCCCCAATACATTAGTTTGTGGAGCATAATAAAATACAAGGCTGAGATGTATAGTTCTGTATAACTCTTTCATATAACATATGCTGTGCTTCATGTCCAGTAATGGAGAACTAGGATCAGCAGGTCAAAATTCCGAATCTCTAGGGTTGCTGGGAATTCCAGAATCAAAGAATTGGAAGGGAGCTCAAAGATCATCTAGTTCCA